TCAGGAGGCTGGAGTGCAATGGCGCGATCTCGGCTCACCGCAACCTCCGCCTCCTGGGTTCGGGCAATTCTCCTGCCTCAGCCTCCTGAGTAGCTGGGATTACAGGCACGCGCCACCATGCCCAGCTAATTTTTTGTAGTTTTAGTAGAGACGGGGTTTCACCGTGTTGACCAGGATGGTCTCGATCTCTTGACCTCGTGATCCACCCGCCTCGGCCTCCCAAAGTGCTGGGATTACAGGCTTGAGCCACCGCGCCCGGCAATCCTAAAATTTTTAATTGGCAAACTAAAATTGTATACATTTATCATGTAGAACATGATAAATATATTTAACATGTTTTGAAACATGTACTTAAATATTTTTTAAAATAACAAAATCTATAACGCTGAGTGCTAATATAGATAGAAAATTTCTTTCTGGGGGTTGATAAACGTTCTGGAATTAGTATTAATAGTTTCATAGCCTTATAAATACACTAACAAACACTAAATAGTACATTTTAAAATGATGAATTTTACAACATGGGAATTGTAGCTCAAGTTTTTAAAAATTTTAAAAATCCATAATGCTAATGGTATCCCAATATTAACGTGATTATACCTGTGTCCTGGCTGTTGCACAGGACTTACTACTTGAGGATGAATCTTGAAAAATGAGTTCCAAGACCAGTTTTCCTGAGAACTACTATCTCGAAACATTTGAAAAATAGGTACCACCAATGAGTCTTGATCTGTTATTTTACTTCCATCAGCTGATGCTGAAATAACTTCAGGTTGAAGACTGTATACACCATTTAAATTGTCAGCTACCATTTTGAGTAAATAAAAACAGGCTAAAAGTTTCTCTGAGAATAACTGACCCTTCTGTTGCTGAGTCAGCAAAAGTTTTATAGTATTTGAGGTTAGCTTTATCAAATGCCCCACATCTTGTTTGTATCTTATATCCCAGTAACGGATTGATAAACACTGATGAAAAAGTTGAAAGATACAAAGTATCCATGCATTATGTCTTGAGCTTTTGTTTAAAAAAAGGTCAAATTTGGGAAAAGGACATTTTATAAATTGAAGAATGTAAAAAAAATGAGTGATACAAACTACTATGTAATTTAACATTAAATTTTTTTCTGTCACAGTTTTTGAAATTCCTATAGTCCATGCTGCAAGTAGATTTTTCTGGATAGAATGCAGTACTGTAATGGTTCTATCTGTCTCCTCACTATCATCCTTTGCATGTATCGTATCAAACATAGATGCAAATTCCAATCTTCCTTCCTTGATACTACTATACAGCAGATCATCTCTTTTGTTCCAAAAAGGAAATAAGTTGTCTGGAAAGTGTCTGTCTTCATCAGTTTCTTCTGCTTCAAAATCCTAAAACATGAGGGGAAAAAATGATACTTAATACCATTTAATATCTTATCAATAGAATCTCTTTAGTGTTCTTAAATTTCTCTTTCCTTTTAACAAGAGAAAAACAAAATATGTTTCTTGGAATAAAGTCATAACTGTTCAAAGTAAATAAAATACTGCTACTAAGTACCTGAAAATCTGCTGTATTTTCATTTAAATTCATTGTTTCTTCTGCCTGCAAGAATTTGGGGACAGTAAAAGCAGCTGAACTTTCATTTCCTTGGTGTTTTAACAGACTAAACCTTAGGGAATTCAGTGATCGCAAGTTCAGTCCTTTGCCTTTTGGCTAAAGAAGAAAAGATGAAAAATTTCCAAGAGGAAAATGTTATCTGTAATTATATTATAAGGAATTAAAAATTCTATAGATGACTGTATACAATTCAAGGACACTACCATCAGTAAAGCTTTAAATTTGAAAAGAAAAAGGCAACTTTTCCTAATGATATAAAAAAGCACTATACCTTAGACAATATCACACTCTGATATATTTTCTCAAGCCTCTGGGCTGAATCAAGTAGAAGTGATCTCATGTGCACTGATGGAGACAGGTTATCAAGAAATCGAAGGGTTGTGACCATATATCCATCAGATATAACGAGGTAGGGTAACCGTGAGTGTGCTTTTATAGAAAATCTCTGTCTCATAGGGTCAGTATCAGAAGCTGATGAATCTATAGAATTATTTGAATCTTGAAATGTAAACTGCTGTGGTCTAGTAAACAAACACCAAAATACAAGAATCAATAAGAGAGATCTTAAGAAAATAATGTTTTTCAAAAAAAAAGAAAAAAGTTATAGAACAATGAAAAAACAAGCAGATGAATGAAACACACAAAAATATTAAATATGTATATATCTCTCAGGTAAAATAATAGTAATTAAGATAAAATAATATATAGGCTCATATGTTTTAAAATTTTCCTAAATGGTAGCATTTGCTCTATTTTGTTTTTACTCTATATATAACCTATTTCAGAAAATAATTAAGGCAGTTTATTTTTACTATTAAAGAAAATTAAATAGTTAACTTTCCTCTTACTATATATTTAAATATGCTTATACAAATACAATTATGAGCTATCAGTATACTTTTTATTAAAGCGGAGAAAAAAAAAGTTGAGAAGATTTGGAGAAAATGGTGGGGAGTAAAATTTTACCTGTTTAAATTTGATTTTCCACTTAAACATACATATTTACTGTTATTATGATGTACCTGATTCTTATTACTTAATAGCACTCCTTACTAAAGTTAGGTCTTTACAAATATAAAAGAAACAAATCATCAAAGTATAGTGTAATTTTTTTTTCTGGTTAGGCAACTATTCAAATATAGACTTTTTATTAGCCAAATGACAATAGAAAATTGGTAATTACAGAGCATACACACCACAAACATCTGTAGAATCATTAAAAATTATGCCTAACATGGAAAGATGTAAAAGATATGCTGTTAAAGCAAAAATGAAAAATAGTAAACAGGATATATCACATAATTTATCCAGTTTTTTAAAAAGAAACTAATACTGCTATTATCATCGTTATGTGAATATTTTTAAAATTTGGGGGACAACATACTAAAATGTTAATAATTGTTATCTCTGAAGTATAAGATTACAAGTATTTAATTTTCTACATCATTTAGTTTTGTAACATTTGACTGAGTTTTAAAATAAATAATGAATACTATACTTTCATAATCAGAAAACAGGCACCAAATATTAATTTTAAACAATGAGAAAATTCTAGTCAATTATGAATTAGACCATAACAAGGAAAAATACTTTCACTGCAGAAAGTGACACATTTTTTCATTAGCATTACCTATTGCTAAAAATTGTGTCTTTTTTTGCTAAATATAATCAAGGAAACACCCTATCTCAGTTTCCTTTCTATAAAGCAAAAAGATTAGATTAATTTCAAAGGTCTTTTCCAATTTGTGTGTCTTGTAAATAGTTATGCATATGTGTCTAGCAACATATAATCAACATCAATAACAAATATTTACTGAGCACTAACTTTATGCCAGACTGTGCTGATTTATAATTATATATTATCTTACTTCATTCTCTCAACCCTAAGAGACAATTATTGTCACCCTCATTTTATAGTAAAAGAAACTGAGGCTTCAATAATAACTCTTCTACAGGACTGGAGATCAAAAGAAATTTTTAAAAATAAAAAAATTGGCCGGGCACAGTGGCTTATACCTATAATTCCAGCACTTTCGGAGGCCGAGGCGGGTGGATCACCTAAAGCCAGGAATTCAAGACAGCCTGACCAACATGGTGAAACCCCATCTCTATTAAAAATACAAAATTAGCCAGGCATGGTGGTGCCTGCCTGTAATCCCAGCTACTTGGGAGGCTGAGGCAGGAGAATCACTTGAACCTGGGAGGTGGAGGTTGCAGTGAGCTGAGATCGCACCATTGCACTCTAACCTGGGCAACAAGAGAGAAATTTTACCTCAAAAAAATAAATAAATAAATAAGAATAAGGATAAGAATAAAAAGTGGAAAAAAAAAAAAAACTAACCTAAAGTCATACAACTAGTAAGTAAAAGAACCACTACGTGAATCTTGATCTGACTTCAAAGCCAAATTGCTACTTCATCTCACAAGTAAAAATTTTATGACACATGCTATGCATGTAATGAAGTATCACATATATCCCATAAATATGTAAAATATTATGTATAAATAAAAAAATAATTTTTAAAACAACAAAAATTAAAATACGGCTAAATCCTAGAGTTTTCTATCCATTTCTGGTAACATTTTCCCTTTGGGAAAAAAGTAGATAAATCCATTGATCAAGTTAATTTTGAGTTATTAATTTTCTAAGTGCTCTTTTTTAATAATATCATACTTTTATTAATTTTTATATCAAATAAGATAACTTTTAGTGCTATTAAATATTTAAATAACTTATACTTACATAGTCACAATGTCAAATTTTCACCAGGATTAAGCCACAGAAAGAAACAGAAAAAAACTATAAATAAGAAACAGATATTGAGATGACAGACTCAAAGAAAGAGTAAGACAATTTGAAAGATGAAAATTTTTTAAATACACAGTAAAAGTAATATGAAAGAGAAAAAAATTCTATGAACAAATTAACATAACTCAAATGTCTCACCTATATGTTATTAGTGGATGAAGAGGAATAAATTCTGCTGGCCCAAATTCTATAGAGCAACCAAATGTAATCAATGTTAGCAATTCACCTTGGCAGGTCAATAAAACCAGAGAGCCACGTTTTAACATACAAGCCAGAAAAAGACTATCATGCGTCCAGCTGATATCACCTACCCAGTAGGACCTATAATAAATAAGAGACAACATGTTTAAAAAGACACTTTACAATGTCTATGACCATTTAAAATGGGCTGTACCAAGCAGAGGTGTGACAGTTCAAAACATGAGGGCAAAAGAATGACTAGTAGTAGGCAATTGCCATATACATTTCATGAATTTTACTTCTTAGAACAAAGGAGTTTGTTCATAAACATCTATTTTAACAATATTCCAATTAGAAATTCATAAGCAATTAAAAAATGAAAATATTCAGTCAGGCATGGTGGCTCAAGCCTATAATCCCAGCACTTTGAGAGGCCGAGGCAGACGGTTCACCTGAGGTCAGGAGTTCAGGAGCCTGGCTAACATGGTGAAACCCCATCTCTACAAAAATACAAAACTTAGCTGGGCATGGTGTCAGGTGCCTGTAATCCCAGCTACTGGGGAGGCTGAGGCAGGAGAATGGCTTGAACCAGGGAGGCAAAGGTTGCAGAGCGCCAAGAGCCCACCACTGAGCTCCAGCCTGGGCCACAGGGGGAGACTCCATCTCAATAATATCTCAAAAATACATATATATGAAAATATTTCTAAAAAACTGAGCTTTTTAGTCACTCACATATTAGAATGAATTTTAATTCTATTAGAGTCCACAACCAAGATCTACTGATAGATTTCAAGACCACATCTGTCCTCTCTGAAGGCTATGAGTCCCTCTCAACAGGAGACTCCCTTTTCCCACAGCTCTAATTGTTACTACTCCTTAACTATTTGGTGACTTTTTTAAATTTTATTTTTATTTTTTAAAATTTTAGATTTTAATTCCTTTATTACCCTCTTTTCGCAGGTATTGATATCTGGTGATATTAATGTTTAATAAGAACAAACAGTAAGGTCATCCTCAGAAAATGACAGACATTCTAAATCAAAGAGACCATTGAACTGAGACTAATACTTTCAAAGTATTATGAATAATATGAATTAGAAATTTATTAGGAGAAAGGAACTTGTGGAGAGTAAAAGAAAGAGGCAGGGCTAGATAAACCTGAAAACTCTGGAAATTCATAGAATAGCATGGAAAAGTATTCAGAAAAGGAAGTTAGAAGCTCTAAGAGGAAATCTTCCTACTTAGATCCTGGTGGTAGCTCATGTGCCATCCCAAATTTCCCCTATGTTTCTACTGACTTATATGTAGAGGATGCCAATTTTGTTTAAAAGACTAGGCTCGGCTAGGCTCGGTGGCTCATGCCTGTAATCCCAGCACTTTGGGAGGCCAAGGCAGGCAGATCACAAGGTCAGGAATTCAAGACTAGCCTGGCCAAGATGGTAAAACCCCGTCTCCAATAAAAACACATAAAAATTAGCCAGGCACGGTGGCGGGTACCTGTAATCCCAACTACTCGGGAAGCTGAGGCAAAGAATTGCTTGAACCTGGGAAGTGGAGGTTGCAATGAGCCAAGATCACACTACTGCACTCTAGCCTGGGCGATAGGGTAAGACTCTGTCTCAAAAAAAGAAAAAGAAAAAAAGACTACACTGTCTCAGCCAGGTGCAGTGGCTGACTTCTGTAATCACAACATTTTGGGAGGCTGAGGTGGGAGGATTGCATAAGGCCAGGAGTTCAAGACAAGCCTGGGCAACATAGCAAGACCCTGGCTCTACAAAAAAAAAAAAAAATAGGAGTGGTGGCATGCACCTGTTGTCCCAGGAGGTTGAGGCAGGCAGGGGGATAGCTTGAGCCTAGGAGTTTGAATGGGAGAAAATATTTGCAAACTATGCATCAAACAGCTAATACCAAGAATATACAAGGAACTAAGACAACTCAACAAGAAAAAAAAAAAACCTCATTAAAAACACTGGGCAAAGAGACTGGGCACAGCGGCTAACATCTATAATCCCAGCACTCTGGGAGGCCAAGGCAGGTGGATCATAGTGAAACACTATCTCTACTAAAAATATTTAAAAAAAAAAAAAATAGCTGAGTGTGGTGGCATGTGCCTGTAATCCCAGCTATTCAGGAAGCTGAGTCATGAGAATCGCTTGATCCAGGGAAGAAAAGGTTGCAGTGAGCTGAGTTCGAGACACTGCACTCCAGCCTGGGGACAGAACAAGACTCCATCTCAAAAAAAAGAAAACTGATCAAAGGACATGAATAGAGATTTCTCAAAAGACATACAAGCAGCCAATAAACATATGAAAAAATGCTCAACATCATTAATCATCAGAGAAATGCAAATTAAAATAACAATGAGACAGTATCTTATACCAGTCAGATGGCTATTACTGAAATGTCAAAAAACAACATGTTGGCAAGGATGCAGAGGAAAGGGAACATGTTTCTCATGAGAACATGAGAAAAGGGAACAAACTTGATTGGTGGGAATGTAAATTAGTACAATCATTATGGAAAACGGTATGGCAATTTCTCAAAGAACCAAAATAGGAACTAACATTCAATCTGGTAATCCCACTACTGGGCATATACTCAAAGGGAAAGAAATCATTGTATCATTGTATCAAAAAGATACTTGCCGCGATCTCGGCTCACCGCAACCTCCGCCTCCTGGGTTCAGGCAATTCTCCTGCCTCAGCCTCCTGAGTAGCCGGGATTACAGGCACACACCACCATGCCCAGCTAATTTTTTGTATTTTTAGTAGAGACGGGGTTTCACCATGTTGACCAGGATGGTCTCGATCTCTTGACCTCGTGATCCACCCGCCTCAGCCTCCCAAAGTGCTGGGATTACAGGCTTGAGCCACCGCGCCCGGCCGATACTTGCACTCTTATGTTTATCACATCACTATTCACAATAGCAAAGATATGAAAATCAACAGAACCATCATCAACAAAGGATTAGATAAAGAAAATGTGACGTGTGTATATCTATGTACCACAGAATGCCACTCTGCCATAAAACGAATGTAATCCCAGCACTTTGGGAGGCCAATGCAAGCGGATCATGAGGTCAAGAGATCGAGACTGTCTTGGCCAACTTGGTGAAACCTCATCTCTACTAAAAATACAAAAATTAGCCGGGCATGGCAGTGAGCACCTGTAATCCCACCTACTTGGGAGGCTGAGGCAGGAGAATCTCTTGAACCCGGGAGATGAAGGTTGCAGTGAGCAGAGATTGTATCACTGCACTCCAGCCTGGTAAAAGACTGAGATTCCATCTCAAAAAAAAAAAAAAGGAAAAAAAAAACACAAAGGAAATCATGTCTTTTGCAGTAACATGGATGGAACTGGAGGTCATTATCCTAAGCAAAATCACTCAGAAACAGAAAGTCAAACACTACATGTTCTAACTTATAAGTAGGGACTAAACAATGGGTACACATGGACATACAAAGTGGAATAATAGGCATTGGAGACTTTGCAAAAGATGGGAGGGGAGTGACGGCTGAAAAACTACCTATTGGGTACAATGTTCACTATTAACATTAAAAGCCAAGATTTCACCACTACACAACATATGCATGTAATAAATACACACCTGTACCCATTAAGCACATTTTTTAAAATTTGTTTTAATTTTTTTTTTCCTTTTTACATCTTGTTTATTCCAGACCAGCCTTAACAGCATGATGAGTGTTTACAGTGAAACAGGAGACTATGGCAATGTGAAAGTCAGTGGTGAAATCCTTCTCCGTATAAGCTACTGCTACAAAACTGGTGGGCTATACATTTTTGTCAAGAATTGCAGAAATCTAGCCATAGGAGATGAAAAGAAACAGAGGACGGATGCGTAAGCATATAGCATGTTCGTCAGACTATTTCAATCACTGCCTTTTTTGTCTGTGTGTTTCTTTTTCAAAAGAATCTTAGCATTCTTCCTGATTCAGTCTTCTCAGAGAGTTGATTGTCACCTTCCTCCTATACCACACTTCTAAATGTTCTCTGAAGCACATGTATACTGGTTGTGTCCTTGGTTAACTGATTTTTTTTTTTTTTTTTGGAATTATAAAAAGTAAATTTTAGTAAGTCAAAATAGGCAGGCTCACACTGGAAGACTAATATTTCCTTTTTCCTCTTTTTTTTTTTTTTTTTTTTTTTGGAGAAGAGGTCTCACTCTGTTGCCCAGACTGGAGTGCAGTAGCACAACTGTGGTGAACCTCAACAGCCCAAGCTCAAGTGATTCTCCGACCTTAGCCTCCCATGTAGCTGTTACTGGTACTACAAGTGCATAACACCATGCCTAAGTTTTTTTATTTTTTGTAAAGGTAAGATCTCGCTATGTTGCTCAGGGTGATCTCAAACTTCTAGACTCAAATGATTCTCCTGTCTCAGCCTCCCAAAGTGTTGGGTTTACAGGTGTGAGCCACCGTACCAAGCCCAATATCTCCTTTATTTTTTTTTATAGCATTTTAGGTTTTGGGGTACATGTAAAGAACATGCAAGATTGTTGCACAGGTATACACGTGGCAGTGTGATTTGCTGCCTTCCTCCCCCTCACCTATATCTGGCATTTCTCCCCATGCCGTCCCCCCCAACTCCCCACCCCCCGCTATCCCTCCCTATTTCCCTCCAACAGATCCCAGTGTGTAGTGTTCCCCTCCCTGTGTCCATGTGTTCTCATTGTTCAACACCCACCTATGAGTGAGAACATGCAGTGTTTGATTTTATGCTCCTGTGTCAGTTTGCTGAGAATGATGGCTTCCAGGTTCATCCATGTCCCTACAAAGGACACGAACTCATCATTTTTGATGGCTGCGTAATATTCCATGGTGTATATGTGCCACATTTTCCCTGTCCAGTCTATTATCGATAGGCATTTGGGTTGGTTCCAGGTCTTTGCTATTTTAAACTATGCTGCAATGAACATTCATGTGCATATGTCCTTATAGTAGAACGACTTATAATCCTTTGGATATATACCCAGTAATGGGATTGCTGGGTCAAACGGAATTCCTATTTCTAGGTCCTTGAGGAATCGCCACACTGTCTTCCACAATGGTTGCTAATATTGACAATGGGGTGTTAAAATCTCCCACTATTATTGTGTGGGAGTCTAAGTCTCTTTGTAAGTCATTAAGAACTTGCCTTATGTATTGGGTGCTTATATATTTAGGATCATTAGCTCTTCTTGTTGCATTGATCCTTTTACCATTATGTAATGTCCTTCTTTGTCTCTTTTGATCTTTGTTGCCTTAAAGTCTATTTTATCAGAGACGAGAATTGCAACTCCTGCTTGTTTATGCTCTCCATTTGCTTGGTAAATCTTCCTCCATCCCTTTACATTGAGCCTTTGTGTAGCCTTGCATATGAGATGGGTTTCCTGGATACAGCACACTGATGGGTTTTGGCTTTTTATTCAATTTGCCTGTCTGTGTCTTTTGATTGGGGCATTTAGTCCATTTACATTTAGGGTTAATATTGTTATGTGTGAATTTGATACTGCCATTTTGGTGCTAGCTGGCTGTTTTGCCCATTAGTTGATGCAAATTCTTCATGGTGTTGATGCTCTTTACCATTTGGTATGTTTTTGGAGTGGCTGGTACTGGTTGTTCCTTTCTGTGTGTAGAGCCTCTTTCAGAAGCTCCTATAAAGCAGGCCTGGTGGTGATGAAATCTCTGAGTATTTGCTTGTTCATGAAGGATTTTATTTTTCCTTCACTTATGAAGCTTAGTTTGGCTGGATAGGAGATTCTGGGTTGAAAGTTCTTTTCTTTAATGATGTTGAATATTGGCCCCCACTCTCTTTTGGCTTTTAGGGTTTCTGTTGAGAGATCTGCTGTGAGTCTGATGGGCTTCCCTTTGTGTGTAACCCGACCTTTCTCTCTGGCTGCCCTTAGCATTTTCTCCTGCATTTCAACCCTGGTGAATCTGAAGATTATGTGCCTTGGGGTTGCTCTTCTTGAGGAATATCTTTGTGGTGTTCTCCGTATTTCCTGGACTTGAATATTGGCCTGCCTTGCTAGGTTGGGGAAGTTTTCCTGGATAATATCCTGAAGAGTTTTTTCCAGCTTGGATTCATTCTCTTCGTCACATTCAGGTACACCTATCAAGCATAGATTAGGTCTTTTCACATAGCCCCACATTTCTTAGAGACTTTGTTCATTCCTTTTTAGCCCTTTTCTCTAATCTTGTCTTCTCGTTTTACTTTATTGAGTTGATCTTCGACCTCTGATATCCTTTCTTCTGCTTGATCAATTCGGCTGTTGAAACTTGTATATGCTTCGCGAAGTTCTCGTGTGGTGTTTTTCAGCTCCACTTATATTCCTCTCTAATTTGTCCATTCTCGTTAGCATTTCTTCAAATCTTTTTTCAAGGTTCTTAGTTTCTTTGCATTGGGTTAGAACATGTTCTTTTAGCTCACAGAAGTTCCTTATTACCCACCTTCTGAAGTCTGACTCTGTCATTTCATCACATTCATTCCACACACACTCCAGCCTTGTTCCCTTGCTGGTGAGGAGTTGTGAACCCTTGTAGGAGGAGAGGTGTTCTGGTTTCGGGTGTTTTCATCCTTTTTGCACTGGTTTCTTCCCATCTTTGTGGATTTATCCACCTGTCGTCTTTGTAGTTGCTGACTTTCAGATTGGGTCTCTGAGTGGATATCCAATTTATTGATAATGAAGTTATTTTTGTTTCTTAGTTTTCCTTCTAACAGTCTGGCCCCTCTGCTGTAGGGCTGCTGAGGTCCACTCCAGGCCCTGCTTGCCTGGAGATCACCTGCAGCAGCTGCAGAACAGTAATGGTTGCTATCAGTTTCTTTTTCTGCTCTGTCCCAGAAGGATACCCGCTAAGTGTCAGTCTGATCTGTCCTTCATGAGGTGACTCTTTGGATATATGGGGGTCAGGGAGCTGCTTGAGGAGACAGTCTGTCCTTTACAAGAGCTCAAGTGCTGAGTTGTGAGCTCCGCTTTTCATTCAGGGCTGCTGGGCAGGTACGTTGAGGTCTGCTGCAGAAGAACTCATAAACACCTTTTTTTTTTACCCCAGGCGCTCTGTCCCAGGGAGTTAGGGCTTTATTTATGAGTTTCCATTGTGCTGCTGCCTTTTTTTCTTTTTCAGAGCTGCCCTGCACAGCAAGGAAGCAGCCTAGTCACTGTCTGGCTGCAGAGGCTTTGCTGAGCTACTGTGGGCTCCACCCAGCTGTCATGTGAACTTCCCTGCAGTCCTGTTTATATGGGTATAGTTAGAACTGTCTCAGTATTGGTGGCCCGTCTCTATAATGGCAGACTCTCGCAGTAATGGCAGGTTGCCTCGGCAATGGCGGGTTGCCTCAGCAATGGTGGACTACCTCCGAATTGGTGGAGTGCCTCCCCAATGGCGGACACCCCTCCCCAACAGAGCTGGACTGTCCTGGGTTCAACTGTGAAACTCTCAATCCAAAGAGTTTCTGATTGCTGTTCTTTTGTGGGGGTGGGACCAGCCAGGCCTGATCACCTGGCTCCCTGCCTCAGAGCCTTTGTTTTTTAGTTGAACGACTCTATCCCAGGTGTTCCAGTCGCCTGTTGAGAAGGCGCCTGGGTCTATGTGATTTCCCCTGCAGCGACTCACGGCTCCGGCTTAAACAGCGGCGCTGAGATTCGTCGGGCTTTTTTTGTTTGTTTTTGCCCAGGATTCTCCTGGCCTGGCTCCCTGTTAACGACCCCTTTTTAGGTCAGATGAATGGGCGACTGTGCCTTCCCGGGCTCCAATCGCCAGCTAAAAGGGCACCCAGACCAGTGTATTTTGTACGGAGAACTGCCGTGCCAGGGCGCCGCAAGGGCCAAAACAGCCGCGGGGACCTAAACGGCCGCACCGGCCAAAACAGTCATGCTGGCCACCCGTGGGGCTCCTCTGCCTGGGAATCTCCTGGTCTGTGGGCAATAAAAATCCGTCTGGAAATGCGGCGTCCACTCACCCTCTGCGCTTTCACTGGGAGCTGCAAGCCTGAGCTGTTCCTAAATGGCCATCTTGGATCTGTCAATTTGTTTTAATTTTTAAAGACTATAAACCCCCCAGGCTGGTAGAATGCTTTTTGGCAAGAAGAAAAAAAAAAAAAAACCCAGGCTCTCTGACTAAATAATGTTCTTTCCAAACAAGGCTTTTTCATTTCAGCCTCTCCAATTCAGCCCAACATTTCTCTACTTACTCATGATTAAACTCCTCCTAAGAAGACACAGAAAGAAATGAAAGAGAAAAGAAAGTATGTTATGTTCTACCCCACCAGACATTTCCTTAAAGTATTTAAGGCCTTCCTTATATAAAGCAACTTTTAGTGGGGGCATGGTGGCTCAGACCTGCAATCCAGCACTTTAGGAGGTCAAGGTGGGAGGATCACTTAAGACAAGGGGTTGAAGACCATCCTGGTCAACATAGCAAGATCCTGTTTCTACAAAAAAAATTTTTTTAATTAGCCATGTACAGTGATACACACCTGTAGTCCCAGCTACTAGGAAAGCTGAGGTAGGAAGGGCTGCTTGAGCCCAGGAGATCAATGCTGCAGTGGGCTATGATCACACCACTACACTCCAGCTTATGCAGCAAGTAAGACCCCATACCGCTCTCTTTTTTCTTTTTTGTGAGACAGAGTCTCCCTCTGTCAACCAGGTTAGAGTGAAGTGGCAAGATCTCAGATCACTGCAACCTCCGCCTCCTGGATTCAAGCAAGTCTCGTGCCTCAGCCTCCCAAGTAGCTGGGACTATAGGCACATGCCACCACGCCTGGTTAATTTTTTTTTTTTAGTAGAGACAGCGTTTCACCATTTTGGCCAGGCTGGTCTTGAACTCCTGACCTCAGATGATCTGCCCACCTTGGCTTCCCAAAATGCTGGGACTACAGCCACACGCCACCACGCCTGGGTAATTTTTTTTAGTAGAGACAGGGTTTCACCATATTGGCCAGGCTGGTCTTAAACTCCTGACCTCAGATAATCCGCCCCCATTGGCTTCCCAAAGTGCTGGGATTTACAGGCGTTGAGCCACCGCACCCAGCCTTTCTTTTTTTTTTTTTGAGACAGGGTCTTGCTCTGTTGCTCAGACTCAGACTGGAGTGCAGTGGTGAGATCATAGTTCACTGCAGCCTTCATCACCCAGGCTCAGGTGATACCCACTCTCTCAGCCTCCCAAGTAGCTGGGACTACAGGTGTGCATCACCATGCCTGGCTAATTTCTTTTCATTTTTTAGTAGAGACGAGGTCTCACTATGTTGCCCAGGCTGGTCTCAAACTCCTGAGCTCAAGTGATCCTCCCACCTTTGTTTCCCAAAGTGCTAGAATTACAAGTGTGAGCTACCACCCCGACAGAGACCCCATCTCTTTTAAAAGAAAAAAAAAAAAAAGACAGACAAAAGAGATCTTACCTAATAAGTGCAGTTGGCACAACGGGACTCTTGTTACTACACCCTTTAAGGCTACCACAGAGAGTAACAAAATTCAGTGTGTTTATAAATAATACCTGAGTTGCCTAGAAATGAAAAAAAGGACAAGAAAACTATTAAAATTATTTTACTGTAATCATTCTTTACAATTCTAGTGATACAGAGATCTATCATTTTATTAATAAGCTATGTAGGGAGTATTTCCTGACTGGCAATGCAATATTGATCCCAACAACCTTTGCTCTTTTATGTTCTACCTTAAGAACATTAGTTACCACACTACTCTTCTTTCCTCTTTTTCCCTTATTCTTTTTTCATTTCTGAAAGCCAAGTTTTGAAAGTTATGGCAGCTAATTTAAATAACTTTACCAATCCACAATGTCAAGTTAGATTAAACATCTCCAACTTAAAGAACATAAAGTAGGATGGCCACAGTGGCTCACATCTATAATCCTAGCACTTTGGGAGGCTGAGGTCGGAGAATTGCTTGAGCTCAGGAATTCAAGACTAGCCTGGGTAATATGGCAAAACCCCATCTCTACCAAAAAATACAAAAATTATCCAGGCATGGTGGTACAAGCCTATGGCCCCAACTACTTGGGCGGCTAAGGTGAGAGGATCACTTGAGCCTGGGAGGTCGAGGCTGCAGTAAGCCATGATCACACCATTGCACTCCAGCCTGGGTAACAGAGGGAGACCCTATCTCAAAAAAAAGAATATAAAGGAATGTTAAGAAAAAAAAATCTCAAAACTGGAATAAACTTCTTTTATAGATTACTTTCTAAGATATTTACTGACCTTGGGGTCTTTCTGATTAAGAGTTACTGCCAGAGTAAGGCCATCTCTTGAAAAGGCAGAAATTAGAGATCCTCTTGACTTTACTGATTCACATTTAGGAATTAGACTGCAGAGATGACAGTCTTGTTGAGCCCAGTGAACATGGTATGGCAATGATCTAAAAAGGTAATGAAATAATTAAAAGTATAGTAATGTTTAAATTTATATATAGTTCATTACAAAAATTAAAGGATCCACCCTAAAACCTACATGTGTACTTAGGGAATATTGTAGAGACTATGTTAATCCATTGTGTTGTTGTAAAGGAATACCTGAGACTGAGTAATTTATTAAAAAAAAAAAAGTGGGGCGGGGGGGGTTGGCAGGGCGCAGTGGCTCACACCTGTAACCCCAGCACTTTGGTAGGCTGAGACGGGCGGACCACTTGAGGCCAGGAGTTTGAGACCAACCTGGCCAACACAGTGAAATCCTGTCTCTACTAAAAATACAAAATCAGCTGGGCATGGTGGCAAGTGCCTGTAATCCCAGCTATTCAGGAGCCTGAGGCAGGAGAATGGCTTGAAGCCGAGAGTTTGCAGTGAGCCAAGATCATGCTGCTGCACTCCAGCCGTGTGACAGAGTGAGACTCTGATAGCGTGGTGGGCGTGGTGGCTCACACCTGTAATCCCACCACTTTGGGAAGCCGAGGTGGGCGATCATCTGAGGTCAGGAGTTCAAGACCAGCCTGGCCAAAATGGTGAAACCCTTTCTCTACTAAAAAAAAAAAAAAAAGAGAGAGAGAAGGGGTTAATTCAAGTTCATAGTTCTACAGGCTACGCAAGCATGGCATCAGCATCTCCTCAGATTCTTGTGAGGGCTTCAGGAAGCTTATAACCATGGCAGAAAGGAAAGGGGGAGCAGGATTTTCCCAAGAGAGGGAGCAAGAGAGAGGAGGATGATATTCCAGACTCTTTCAAAAAACCAGATCTCCTGTGAACTCAGAGAAAGAACTCATTCCTGTAAGCAGAACTCCGCGTCATTCCTGAGGGACTTGCAGCCTTGACCCAAACACCTCCCACCAGGCCCCATCTCCAAACATTCCAACATTAGGGATTATTTTCAACATAACACTTGGAAGGGATGAATATCCAAACTATATCAGAGACCTTTCAGAAGTCTGCAACAAAAGAGCAGCTCCCGGTTAGGTAAATAAGTTCAATATTAGACTTTTGTTAGCAGAGCCATGTTTTTATAGCCAATGCCAAATATATTATACCTGCTTCCACTAAAAGTTTGGATAAACATATTTCTACATAATACCAAACATTTTTACAGGGATTTAAAAAGTAGGTCAGCAGTTCAAGATCAGCCTGGCCAATATGGTGAAACTCATCTCTACTAAAAATACAAAAATTAGCCAGGAGCAGTGGCGCATGCCTGTAGTCCCAGCTACTCAGGAAACTGAGGCAGAAGAATGGCTTGAACCTGGGAGGCAGAAATTGCAGTGAGCTGAGATTGCACCACTGCACTCTAACCTGGGCAACAGAGCAAGCCTCCATCTCAAAAAAAAAAAAAAATTTATCATTTTACTAAACCTTACTTAGGCATTGTAAGAAAATAACACATATTTTCTATTTTATTAGGCTTTTTAGAATAAAATTATTTTTAATTAACACTCAAGCATTTAAAAGGTACAATAGCAAATCAAAACACTTATGTCTCTTTTAAATTTCAATTGAATTATTTTCCAAAATAGTTACTTTTATAGTCTTAGAGAAGCAAAAACATAGTTTGTCTTATCTTTTACAAGTTCCCACTTCAAAGAGAAACAAGACAAAAACAAGATAAACTTTCTGGATTAATCATCTAGAAATAAAAGAGAGGAAGAAAAGCATTTATACAGCCTCAGAAATTGAAACTCACAATAACATTTACAAATGTTATTGCATGTATATGGATCAAAAAATAATAATGTTTAAAACGGGATAGAAAATAAGGAGCCAGGTATGATGGCTCATGCCTGTCTGTAATCCCAGCACTTTGGGAGGCCAAGGCAGGAGGACTGCTTGAGCCCAGAAGTGCAAGACCCTGTCTGTTAAAAAATAAAAATTAAAAATTAGTCGGGCCGGGCGCGGTGGCTCAAGCCTGTAATCCCAGCACTTTGGGAGGCCGAGGCGGGTGGATCACGAGGTCAAGAGATCGAGACCATCCTGGTCAACATGGTGAAACCCCGTCTCTACTAAAACTACAAAAAATTAGCTGGGCATGGTGGCACGTGCCTGTAATCCCAGCTACTCAGGAGGCTGAGGCAGGAGAATTGCCTGAACCCAGGAGGCGGAGGTTGCGGTGAGCCGAGATCGCGCCATTGCACTCCAGCCTGGGTAACAAGAGCGAAACTCCGTCTCAAAAAAAAAAAAAAAAAAAAAAAAAATTAGTCAGGCATGGTGGCACACACCTATAGTCACAGCTACTCAGGAGGCTGAGGTGAGAGGACTGCCTGAGCCCAGTGATTCAAAGCTGCAGTGAGCTATGATTGTGCCACTGACCCCCGGCCTGGGTGATAGAGCAAGACCCTGCCTCCAAAAGAAAACAAAAATCAGTAAGAAAATAAGGAGCAAGAAAACATTTATCTCACCTTATAGATGTAAATACATTCTCATGCCACCGAATTGCTAGAAATGTTAACTTCAGGCACTCCCCAGAATAAAAAGTAAATGAACACAGGCAGCAGTCTCCAAATAACTGTAGATAAATTTAATGTATTTTAGTATGAAATTAATCAAAAAATAAATCAAGACACAAAAAATATATAAATATATTCATCATAAACTAGTAAAAAATATTGAGATCTTCCTTTTTCTTTTTTATTTTTAACATTAAGGTAAAGACTAATTAATTTTTTTCTGAGCCAGAGGCAGGTCTCAAATGGGTAATCAGGTTGTGGCTAATGGTCTTAAAAAATACTGACATTTATTGTGGCTACAAATGGAAACATTCTTATATTTATTTTTCTTTTTATACTTTTATATTATTTAAATTAGGGCACCACGGGGCTAGGGGGGACAATAAAATTTTAAAATGCAATTTCTAACAATAGTGGTTTAGATAATGAAATGTTGGTCCATACATACAAAGAATATCAAACAGCTATTTTAAATGTTTTTTGTTTTTTTAAAGTTCATGAATCTGTATTTCCCAGTTAAATGGTGTGTTTAGTATGACCAGTTCTAGCTTGTTAAATTACCAAACAAGCTATAATTTTAAATCAAGTCTAGAGAAAAGGAGTTCTAAGTTAAAACTACTTTTAATAAATACTTTTTAAAAGTGTGACCCAAGAAATACAAAATATATTTTCCATACAAGAATTTCACAATTACTGTGACAATTTATGGTGACTAAGATGTATAGTTATACCATTACATACTCTGCTAATCAGCTTACAGATTAAGTCTGAGACTGACTTTACCTCGTTTTTTATAAAAACAGCATTCACTACAGCTTCTTTATCTTCAGTGGAAGGCAAGAGAACTGCTTCTTCAGGTATGACCTGGGACCACTGACCCACCAATGAAAGGCTTTTAGAAGCCAAGATATTCTTTAATTCCAAATATTCCCAAAGAAATATGCATCCAGAAGGTGTTATGAGCAGAATTCTTTTCCCATTTCCAGATACATACAAGTATGGTCTCAAAGAGCTTGCTAAAAAAAAAAAAAAAAAACTAATTAAACTTCTGAAGTCTGAATTCCCCTGAGAAAAGTATATAATTTAGGTATTCTTACAATAAGAAACCCAAATAATGTTACCATTCAGGATTTCAAAACTAAGGCACTAGCAAAAAAATTAAAAATACAATCCAGGCACAGCAGCTCCTGCCTATAATCCCAGCACTTTGGGAGGCTTAAGGAGAAGGACTGCTTGAGCCCAAGAGGTCAAAGCTGCACTAAGCTATGCTCATGCTACTGTACTTCAGCCTGGGTGACAGAACAAGATCTTGTCTCTAAAAAAGAAAAAAAAAAAAAAGTACAAAAAATAGCAACATTTATCAAGTACTTATTATGTGATATTAGAAACCTATTATTATTACAGATATGTTAGGCATGTCAGAATTTTCTTCTTCAAGTTGAGTCTCGGTATCACAAACACGACCAAAAATAAACACACACACATACACACACATATATATACAGAAATATATATACAAGCAGATATACATATGCACATATACAGAAATATATTTTCAAGACAATAACAGAAAAATGTTTCAACCTCTTTTCCTATTTCTCCTAGTTAAACCAATTTAACAAACAAAGAATTCCCACCTACTGTAGCTTTGATCATTTCCTTAGGCTTTTCAGTTATTGGTATAGTTTTCAAACAATCTTGATCTTTGTTCCAAAGAAAAAGCTCTCCTGTAATGAGTATCCCAGCCAGCCAGGCATCTGTTTCCAAAAATGAAATGAAATACTTCTAATACCTTCCTTAACATCACCCTTAGTTATTAAAAAAATACATTTTTAGCCATTTGAAAATATCAGTACTACTTAACCATTACTGGACGTTGTTAGGACAATAACATCCTTCAACAAAGGTTGCAGACTAGGAATTTTCTTCTTTATCTTTCCTGATAGCAAATTAATTTCATTTACAAATTTATCATCCAAAAGAAAAACAGCTTCTTTTTCCTAAGAGAAGAAACATGTGAAGGATTCAAGAGGTGCCAGAAATTAATTCAACCTACTGCCTAAATAATCTCAGAAACGAAAGCGACATTTAAGAAAGATTATCCATTTCTACCACAAATCATAAAATGAAAATTAAGCTTGATGCTCTATAGTAACCTGAACATTTTTAATTCTATTTTAAAATACCTCATTGGAACTACTAGGTTAGGTGACCTAATAGTTATATTTCAATTTCTTCGAAGCTTAAAATTATAGGAGTGTCTTCCAATTCTGCTAGCCAAAGCTGGGTTGTCTGTTTAAATCTTTTTTTTTTTTTAAGAGCTGAGGTCTCACTTTGTTGCCAAGCCTAGAGTGCAGTAGATATTTATAGGCACTATCCCACTACCAATAAGCATGAGAGCTTTGACCTGCTCCGTTTCTGACCTGGACCAGTTTACTATTCTTAGGCAACCTGGTGGTCATCCCAGCCCCTCCATCCCAGGAGGTCAGCATATTGATGCTGAATTTAGTGCAGACACCTAACTGGTACAGCACACTGCTGGCCAGAATTCCTGGGCTCAAGCAATCCTCTCACCTCACCCTCCTGAGTAGCTGAGACCACAGGTGTGTACCACTGTACCTGATTCTCATCAATTTTAACAGTAGTATGGACAGGTTTTTTACTTACTTATTTCAATTAAAATAGATATAGCTTCTGAAATTCATAAACCCGTGACTCTGCTCATTTTTTATTACCTAGAAAAAGTGAGCTGTTTTGAATTAATCTTGTTTTCATATATTCTAAGACAGTGATTTTCAAAGCAAAACTGAGCTAGCAGCATCAGCAACACCTTAGAACCCATTAGAAATACAAAATATCCAACCCTACCACATACCTAATTAACTTTGAAAACTTTGGGAGTGGGGCCCAGCAATCTGTGTTTTAACTACCTCTCCAGATAATTCTGATATATTGTAAAGTTTGAGAACTCCTATTCTAGGGGAGTTAATTAGTGGCATAATTTCTCAAAGGAAATTTAACACTTTATTTCAATAATCATTATACATACAGTAGAGTTGCCTACATCCCCTAAAAGGGGACTCTATGTCATATATTATGAATGGCATTCCTGGATTATTAACGTATTGTGGCCCAGTTCTTCCATTCTAGTTCCAAGAACACTTTATAGAACAATCATGAAAACCACAACAAGAGGAAACACTTCATCGGCTGTTCCGGTAAAGGAAAGCTCAGGAGATTAAATATTCCCTTTTGATATATGCCATCTCAACTTAACTTAAACTTGACTTAAACATAATGTGAAAAATATATATATATTTGTAAAGTCTTCTTCTAAACAAACCACTTAACATTCTGGAAAAGCTAACTTGTTCATTATAATGAAAACACATACACAAAATCCTGTTCAGTGTACAGGTAGGTGATCCTCCTGTATATCCTCTCCAGTAAATAACGTTTTATTTATTTAAGATCATAGAACACTCCTATATTACAGGCAAAACACACATGCAACATATATAAAACTGGTACTGCACGAATTTAAAAAAAAAGGAAAAAAACCTACCTTTCCCAACCAGGAGACACGTGGCCATGGTCTTTTCTGCTTAATGCTTGTTGATGTCAAAATTTCTAATCTTACCTCCATGTTTGTTAAGATATCAATGACCAATTAGATAAAAAGTCTCAAGATTCTGTAAACAATAATAGTAATAATAATAACAAGTGGTCCATAATATTCACTTTTTTTTTTTTTTTTTTTTTTTGAGACATAGTTTTACTCTGTCACCCAGGCTGGAGTGCAGTGGTGTGATCTCAGCTCACTGCAAACTTTCACCTCCCAGGTTCAAGCAATTCTCCTGCATTAGCCTCCCAAGTAGCTGGGACTACAAGCATGGGCCACCATGCCTGGCTAATTTTTGTATTGTTTTTCGTAGAGTTGGGGTTGACCATGTTGGCCAGGCTGGTCTCGAACTCCTGACCTCACGTGATCCGCCCACCTCGGCCTTCCAAAGTGCTGGAATTACAGGCGTGAGCCACCGTGCCAGACCTAAATAGCTGTTTTTTAAAAAAGTAAAATAGCATTAAAAGAAAAACTAGTCAGAGACAGCACACAAAGATTTTTTTTTTTTTTTTTTTTTAATTAAAGATGGGGTTTCACCCTGTTGGTCAGGCTGATCTTGAACTCCCGACCTCAGGTGATCTGCCCGCCTTGGCCTCCAAAGTGCTTGGATTACAGGCTGAGCCAACACGCCCGGCCAACAGTACACAAAGATCTATCAAGATGCTAGCTATCAGCCAGCACGGAGGCTGAGGTGGAAAGATCGCTTGAGAACAGCGGAGTTCTAGCCTGCAGCGAGCAGTGATTGCGCCTGTGAGCGCCAATGCACTCCAGCGTGGGCAACGTAGAGAAAACTCCGGCTCAAAAATAAACAAATAAAATTACAAATAAAATAAATTCTTTTACAAGGATTAACCAAATACAAGAGGAACGCCGGCATTATAAAAGCATCATTTGCAGCTCCTCATGAAATAAATCCAGTCATTGTATCAGTGCTGCTAAAATTATTGAGTGAAAAAAGACTGGGAACTTTATGTACTGACATGCCCTAAATCCACTAGTCACTCTTAAAATTGCTAACAGTGAGGGAAATTACACGTTCTATTCCTATGGATCCTGCTCGAGAAGCCTGGTAGTCAGGCGGGAGCTGGGGCGCTCGAGTCCGGGGCCGAGGTGTGGCCGGAACCTGGCACCGCCCACGCCGGCCGGGCGACCCCGTCAGCCCGCGACGCCAGGAAGCTGGGGTAGGCCCACAGCGAGGACGGGCCCCGACTGGGTAGTGGGGATAGACTAGGGCCGGGTGCGGCGGAGACGGCGCGGGAGGAGGGAGGTCGCCGACCTGCCCCACAGAAGGGTGCCTGAGGGGAGACCGAGGACCCCCGGGTCCAGGGGCGTAAGTGGAGGCTAGGGTCGCGGGGGAAGGAATCAGCGGGCAGTTACCTCCGCCAGGGGCAGGGCCCGGCAGGTCGGGAGCGGGGAAGGCGCGGCGAGGCAGACTGCTGGTGGTGGAGACGCCAGGCCGACGGCCGCGAGCCCAGTCGCCCGCCCTGACGCGAGCCTGCGTCCTGGCGACGGCGGATGGCGGGCAGGGGGGGCGCGGGTGCTGCCACGGCGCCTGCTCAGAGCTGGTCGGGAGCGCCGGCGGCCCTGCTCTCAGATACCCCCGCCCGGGTCCTCTGAGCGGCCAGCCGCAGCCGCCACCACGCTCCTCGCCCCTACTCCCGCGCGTTGCCCTCCTCAGCTTCCGCAGCGCCCCCTCAGTTCACGCCTCCCAAGCGTTCCTCAGACGCTCCTCCTTTGAGTGCAGGCATTGGGCGGGGCTTTGCCGGGAGCCGCCTAATAACCGACCAATCGGGAACTCAAGGGCTGCGCCTGCCTAGTGGGGACCCTGCACAGACCCGAAAATAAAGGGGTTTTGTTCCGCCCTCCCCAGTTGAAGCGGGCACCTGGGAACCCTGAAGAAGTCGTTTTCCGAACTCACCGTCCTAAGGATTTCTTTTCCTTACTGTTGTCACCTCCTTCGCCCTGTTCTTATGACTAACTGGAACAGTGGTCGCAAGCGGGCAGCCCGAGAGCTCTGCTCACCTGGAAATGCATTTTTGTGTAACTTAAATGTGAAGGCCGCAGGCAGTGGCCTGCTGTCCTCCTCCACCTGCGCCCTTCTTCACTGTTTATGTGACTGGCCTGTTTCTGAAGCCAGGACCTTGTCACCCTTGGCTAGGCCAGGTGTGTTCTGCACAGCAAGTGTCCCTGCCCTCTGCACTGGTTAGCTAGCTCCTAGGTTGGTTTATTTTAGCTGTTAAATAAGCACCACAGGGTAGGAGGACTTCTGGCTACAGCAGGACCACAATTACTCCTGGTCTCTGGGAGGGATAAGTGGCAGCTGGCATTCTGGAAGCTCAGGCCCACTTATCTCAGAGGTTATAGATCTGAGGTGGTTTAAATCCACCCGCAAATCACGAACATTTTACACAAACCGTGTTAGAGTTAGCAGAAACGTCTCACACAGAAAAATTTGGGAACTGAGAAATCCTAACGTATTCCTACAATTCCGTGTTCCCATTGCTAGGTCTTAAGATGTGAAAACAATGGGATAACTGAGACTGATTTTGACGTGTGACCATTAGACCTAGAAGTATCGGTGTGATTCTGGAGTTGAGTGCTCCACACATTTATTTATTTATTCATTCATTCATGCCTTTTTTTCCCTTCTCTTCCTCCTCCTCTATTTATTCTTTTAAAACATGGAAATGGGCCGGGCACGGTGGCCAACGCCTGTAATCCCAGCACTCTAGGAGGCCGAGGCGGGCAGATCACATGAGGTCAAAAGTTTGAGACCAGCCTGACTAGCATGGCGAAACCCCGTCTCAACTAAAAATACAAAAAAAAAAAAAAAAAAGCCGGGCGTGGTGGTGGATGCCTGTAATACCAACTACTACAGAGGCTGAGGCAAGAGAATCGCTTGAACCCGGGAGTCAGAGGTTGCAGTTAGCCTAGATCGCACCATTGCACTCCAGCCTGGGCAACAGAAGGAGACTGCATCTCAAAAAAAAAAAAAAAAAAAAAAAAAGTATGGAAATGTATCCTGCAATGTTTGCTGTAAAAAATAATGTATGGAAATTACTACAGTTTGCTAAAATAAAAATCATTGAGCACTTATGTGTGTCAGACGCTATGCTAGGTATAAAGAGGGGAAGACGATATTATCCCTATTCAAGAAATTCACACACATTTAAGTTACAGGGCAGCCTTAGATTCAGAGCTATATTAAGTCCCCCAATTAAAAAAAAAGAAAGAAAAAAGTTACAGTGCAGTCATAAATGCCATGATCACAGTATGTACAGGTCCATTTTCTCTATCTGGGTGTTGGGAGGTCCAAACATAAGCTAAGTTTTGAATGAGGAATAGTTTCATTTTGAAGCACATCCATTTTTCGATGCCTCTGAAGCTGTCTAGTGAACAATTAAGATGCACAGTTCAGAAGCTCAATGGGAGGCTTGTGAATACAGAATGTGTAAAATAAGCATCAGTCTCCCCTTAACCCTGCTCTGCACTTTTTAAGGGTCACCTCTCTTTAATATATATTGGTAAGTAAGACATTTTGTGGAGGATAGGAGGATACCAATTCTTCTTTTTTGTTTTTGGTTGTTGTTTTTTTTTAACAGAGTCTTGTACTGTTGCCCAGGCTGGAGTGCAGTGGCACAATCTCCACTCATTGCAACCCCAACCCCCCAGGTTCAAGTGATTCTCCTGCCTCAGCCTCTCCTGAGTAGCTGGGATTATAGGCACCTGCCACCATGCCCAGCTAATTTTTTGCATTTTTAGTAGAGACAGGGTTTCACTATGTTGGCCAGTCTGGTCTTGAACTCCTGATCTTGTGATTCACCTGTCTCGGCCTCCCAAAGTGCTGGGTTTACAGGCATGAGCCATCATGCCTGGCCAGGATACCAGTTCTTATGAGAGAATGTCAGAGGGGTAGAAGAGATCCAAGAGAAAGATTGACAAGTTAAAAAACTGATTAAGGTCAAATAGAAATAAGCCTGAGAATTTCTCCATCAGATTTAGTGTTTAGTAGGTATAGCTATAGTGCCAGATATATAATAACTGAGGTCTTCTTGAAAGCATATAGCAAAATCAAATCTGATTAGCTTAAGCAACAGAGGTGATTTATTGTAATGATTCTAGGTTATCTGACAGACTGTGACTATTCTCTCTAGCATGGTCCTATCCAATATAAATTTCTGTAATGATGAAAATGTTCTATGTCTGCTCTAATATGGTAGCCATTAGCCACAAATGCTATTGAGCATGTGAAATGTAGCTAGTGCAACTGAGACCCTGTAAACTAAGATTCCAGTCAAAGAGAAGGGAAAAAACAGGGAGCTTGCCCACAATCTTTAAGACCTGGGCCCAGAAATAGTACACAGTATTTCTGCTTACATTCCACTGGAGAGATTTTAGTCACATGATCACACCTAACTGCAAGGAAGCTGGGAAATGTAGATTAGGAGTGTACCCAGAAAGACTGAGAAAATGGTTTTGATAGACAACTAGCAGTAGTCAGAATACAAAAAGTAATAATACAGATTTCCTGCTTTCAAGAATATCACAGGTTTATGGGAGACAGATGAAAATTTTACTACCAATGAATAAAGAACATGCTGTACAAACCCAAAGAAAACAGTAGGTATAGTTTGGATATTTCTTCCTGCCCAAATCTCATGTTGAATTGTAATTGCCAGTGTTGGAGGTGGGGCCTGGTGGGAGGTGACTGGATCATGAGGGTGGATTTCTTGTGAATGGTTTAGCACAGCTCCTTGGTGCTGTCCTCATGATAGTGAGTTCTCCTGAGACCTGGTTTAAAAGTTTGTGACACCTCAGGAGGCTGAGGCATGAGAATTGCTTGAATCCAGGAGGCAGAGGCTACAGTGACCTGAGATCATGCCATTGCACTCCAGCCTGGGCAACAAGAGCAAGACTCTGTTTCAAAAAAAAAAAAAAAAGAAAATACATTTTGACTCAGTAATCTTGGGTAGGACCTTGAGATCTCCTAGGTGATGCTGATGCTACTGGCCCATAGACCATATTTTAAGCAGCTGTAGATTTAGCAAATATCACAAAAGGAATGACATTTGAGTTGCACCTTTGTAATATAGCGTAGTGGTTAAAAATCTAGCTTTTGGCTGGGCGTGCTGGCTCACGCCTGTAATCCCAGCACTTTGGGAGGCTGAGGCGGGCAGATCATCAGGTCAGGAGATCGAGACCATCCTGGCTAACATGGTGAAACCCTATCTCTTAAAAAAAAAAATCTAGCTTTTGATGATAGACATCCTATGTTCAAATTCCAAATCTGGCTGGGCACAGTGGCTCACACCAGTAATCCCAGCACTTTGGGAGGCCAAGGCAGGCAGATCACATGAGGTCAAGAGTTCAAGAACAGCCTGGCCAATGTGGTGAAACCCTTTCTCTACTAAAAATACAAAAATTAGCTGGTCATGATGACAGGTGCCTGTAATCCCAGCTACTAGGGAGGCTGAGACAGGAGAATTGCTTGAGCCCGGCAGGCGGAGGTTGCAGTGAGCCAAGATCACACCACTGCACTCCAGCCTGAGCGACAGAGCAAGACTTCATCTCAGAAAAAAAAAAAAAAAAAGCCAGTCATAATGATGTGTGCCTGTAGTTCCAACTACTTGGAAGGCTGAGGCAGGAGACTCACTTGAACCCAAGAGGCAGAGAATGTAGTGAGCCGAGATCACACCATTGCACTCCAACCTAGGTAACAGAGCAAGACTCTCTCAAAAAAAGAAAAAAGCAGTGATAGTGTAGGAGGGATTGTATGTCCTAATGGTAGAGGGGAAGAGAATGCTTGTAATTAACCTTTCTTTAGTTATAAATATGTGAGTATATATTTACATAATTAAATATAGAATCTATATTCTTATTTGATGTGTTCAGGTTACTGTAATAAAATACCATTGTGAAAGTTGTCATACTCTGACTGGGCCCGGTGGCTCATGCCTGTAATCCCAGCACTTCAGGAGGCCAAGGCAGGCAGATCACTTGAGATCAGGAGTTCGAGATCAGCCTGGCCAAGATGGCAAAACCCTATCTCTACTAAAAATACAAAAATTAGTTAGGTTTGATGGTGCATGTCTATAATCCCAGATACTAGAGTGGCTGAGGCAGAGAATTGCTTGAACCCAGGAGGCAGAGGTTGCTGTGAGCTGAGATCTCCAACTCAAAGAAAAAAAAAAAGTTGTCGTAGTCAAAATAGAGTCGCTAATGTTAAGCAAACCCTGACAAATAGAGCTGAGGAAGGCCATAAAGACAGGGTTTTCACACTTACATGCCTGATAACAAAAAAGACTCTACAACCCACACAAAGGTCATCACATTCATTAACAAAAAATGCTTCTGAAAGAACATCTGCCCTTCAACTGCCTGTTCAACTTCAGACTGGTGTCACCCTTGTTATTGATCTTTGTAGCCAAGGATAATTACTTCAAAACAATTATGTAATTCTCATTTTTTTCCTTCAGAAACCATTGTCTTCCTTTACCTTCCTGAATACACACATAGTTTACTATGTCATGCATATTTCCACTGCAGTGCTGTATTTTCGAATAAACATCATTTTCTTTTGGAAAATCTCTCTCAGTTTGCTGTTTAGATTGACATATGTGGTGTCAGAAGTGAGATCTGAAGAAAAGTTCACTATTGAAACGAATCAGCTATTCTTGGAACAAGTTTGC